CACCAGCACAAATGCCACAACCTTTGAGAGAGAAAAGGCGATCTTAAACCCATCACAGAAACCTCCAGGAGGTGCCAGCCACCCAGGAGCTGTGTGCATGGCCTTCCACAAGGAAGGGCTGGAGCGGACCCTGCGAAGCAACTACACACGCAGTCTCAGGGGAGGAGCTAAAGCTCATTTAACTCAAATGAGGTCTGAGGGTTGTTTGTGGCCCGTCCACCGGTTTAAAGCCCCAACGGCAGCTGGTGTGTCGGTGTGGGAACGCCCCCACGAGACTGCTTCAAACTTTTCATAATAACGTTCATCAGCAGGGTCAGGGCCTGGAAGGTTTCTTTTGATTTTTCTACTTAACTGAGAGTTCATGGGGGAAATTGTCTTTCTTATCCAGGGACGAGGATTTTGGTAGTTACAACTCTCAGTGCACGTCTGACCTACTGAATATTTCTGTTAATACACAGGAAGGAGACTTGGAGATATGCTGATCAAATGTTATATGACACTAGGGGCCCGGTGCACAAAGATTCGTGCACTGGGGGTGGGTCCCTCAGCCCCACCTGCACCCTCTCCAATCTGGGAGTTTCTGTCTGTCTTTGCAATCATATGAGCAAATTGTCTGAGACCCCAACCCAGTTTGGTATGTTGCTCACAGAATAATAGAGGCATTTATTTTTTCTTTGCTTCATTGGTGGAGATTTCCTGGAAGTTTTAGGATATCTTCCCTTTAATTTTTCCTAGACACTCTGATTTTACTTATGTCTCTCACCTTTGCTTTCCCTCCATCCCCCACCACAACAGTAACTTGCTCCAGGCTCACTTTGCTCTAGTGTAGATCTGTCTGCCACCAGAACTACTATTCCCAGAATTCCTGATGCTCCCTGCTCTCTAGGTTTCCCCTTCCTGCTCTGTCTCCATCCCATGGCCTCCCACTCTGCCACGTCCCCCCAAGCCTCCAGCTCTCCTGTTCTGCTCTCTGCCTGGTGCCTGTGTATGCAAATTAACCTGCCATCTTTGCCAGGTTAATTTGCATATTCACTCCTGATTGGCTGGTGAGTGTAGTGAAGGGACAGTCAATTTACAGGTTTCTCTTTTATTATATAGGATGGGCTGGGGAAGATTGAGAATGTGTTTATTATATGGCAGAATTTCATTCAAAAATAAATCAACAGGCTAAACTTCAGCAGACTTCTCTTATGAGAAGACTAAAGTCCTGCAAATAGTTTTTTTGTTTGTTTGTTTTTGTTTAATATTTATTTTTTTGTTGTTGTCACCCAAGGATATTTTCCATTGATTTTTAGAGAGAATAGAAGAGAGAGGGAAAAACAGAAACATCAATGTGAGAAAAACACATTGATTGGTTGCCTCCCATAGGAGCCCCGACTAGGGCCCAGGCAGGGAAGGAGCCTGAACCCAGGACCCTTGGCTTCGCAGGCTGACGCTCTATCCACTGAACCAAACCGGTTAGGGTCAAATAGTTTTTTTAAGTTGACCATATAAATATAAAATGTACAAACTTGGCTTAATAGCACATGATGCCTAAAACCTGGAGTTTTGTAACAACTTTGAGAGAAGAAAACCCTAAGATCGTAGACAATGTCTCTAGGTCTCAGACCATATCAAGTTCTTGACAGGGAGGCGCTGGGTAGAGCTGGACAGATGGACAGGGCTGTCTGTGCCGAAACTGCTTTTATTGCCCCCAATGCTTCCGGCCGCTCTAAGCAGCAGCGTCCTCCTGCAGATAGTTGTGCTGTACAACAGCCCCACCTACAGGATGCTGGGAAGAGTGCAGCAGTGGCGTCCAAGCCAGGCAGGTGCGTCTCCTCGCAGCTTTGTCACTCTGCTCATCTTGTCAGGAACGCAGTGACTCCCCATGTGGCAGAGCAGCGGGGCTCTGCGCCCCCCCGTCAGCCCACACGGTGCGTTCCTGGTGGAGGTTGGCCAACTCGTCCCCGCACACCCAGGTGGCTGGTTTCACATTGGAAAGCCCACGTTCCAGGGAGCCCCTGGGTCCCCGAAGCCACCGAGGTCACCGTGCCCATCCTGTTTCCCAAGGACCCGCTGGCTTCCCAGGGAAGAGAAGTTTTGGGGGAAGAGGCCAGCAGCTGCCAGGCTTCAAACAGCTTTTATTGAGATTTTCGTCTTAATAACGAAAGTGTTTTGATGCCGTTGTAATAACCTGGCTGTTATTTAACAGGGAAGGGAACGAGGGGAAACTGGATATAGGCAGGCCATTTACACAGCTTTGCCAAAACGCTGCATTGAGCACTCTCCACGTCTGTCCCCCACTGGCTGACGGGAAAGAAACCAGACAAAGGCAACTTAGACGCATGCCCAGTAAAGGTCGGAGGGACCTGGGAAGCTGCCTACCTGTCTGCCAGTCATACCTGAGAACAAATTCATGGCCTGGATGGGCGTGGCCACTGCAAGCCCACCAAACCTAAATATTTAAACTTCCAGACTCTCTTGGCTCCAGGGCGCTGTCTTCTGTGACTCCTGTGGCAGGGGGATCGCTCCCTGCACCCACATGGCGCACGGCCATGGTGGACCCCACACACGGACGAATAGACCGTAATTAGCTTGGATGCCGAACCGCATCCGGCTGCAACATGGAACGGAAGCTCTGGTCACTGGCCCTCCTCCCGGCTCTGCTGAGCCCCAGCGGCCCCTTGCAGGACCGGCCTGGGGGAAACGGGACATTGGGCCTGAGGAGTGTAAGTCCCTCCAGTGAAGCCTTCTTCCACGTCCCGTCCTCCCGTGGGGGCCCCTGAAGATGCTTATTTCGGTGGTACCCCCAGGACCTCCACCTCGCTCCCGCGAGCGACAGGGGAGTTTGATTCTCTGGTAACATTTTCACTCTCCTCAGTTACCACCTCCCACCCTTACCCATCCCAGGAGGTGCCCACCGAGGGGCACTAGGGAGTCAGCAGTCCTGCCAGCGCCTGGCTTCGGCCCAGTAGGCGGAGGTGTTTGGAGCTGAAGCTGCCTCACCCACAGAGAGAGGGCTGGTGAGGCCACACAGACCCACAAGGCCCCTCAAGGGAGACCCTTCAAATAGGCCAGGCCTTAGGGAGAGTGAGAATGTGTACCACACCCTAAAGGAGCTGCATGAACTCTTCCATGCAGGTGGGACTTAAGTTCCTCTTCAATGTCATGCGACCCACCAGAAACCCAACATGGCGCTGTTTCCCTCTATAATGAGCTGGGTGACGAAGATGCTCCAAAGTTTCTCTAAAACCTCAGAGACTGTCCTTTTTTAAAACTGACCAGCAATCAAGTGTTGTTCCTCCCAGTCAGAAATGGGCCAGACTATGGAGAAAACACCAGAAAGCTCACGGCTCCCGCTGCAGGGCTGACACCCACGGGCCTCCACGCAGCTGCTGCACTGCGTTTCAGCATCACGCAGGCTCCCAGGCCGATGAGGCGCACGCACCCCCAGCCCAGCCCGTGCTTACGTCATCCTCCGGGAGGACCCCATTCATCTGAGCCAGGGAAGTGGACAGGGAATGAAGGCTGCAGGCTCTCGCTGCCCTGGGCCCCTGGCCTCTCCTGTCTGCTCCAGGCTGGGGGAGGGGCAGAACGGGTGAGACTACACATAGGTTTCCATAGAGCCGTTAGCATTTGCCAGCCCTTTGGTGCATGGCCCTGCTGTAGGGACTGGCGCAGAGTAGGAACTGTGCCCAACAGGAGGCTACAATAGCCTCAGCTTCTAGCAGAACGAGAAAGGGCCACTTCTTACAACTTACAACGTACCATCTTGCCGAGATGCCAATAGATCAGTATCTTAATGGCCTCTAATGGCAGGGCAGAGGGCCTGGGGAAGGGAAGAGTCCTGTCTGTGGGTGTGCTGACCAGGCAGCTTTGCAAAGGACAATGTGTGGGTACATCGTGCCTCATCACCCACACTCAAGGGACCCGGAGCTCTGGCCCCGCAACCTGAGTGCGGTCAGGTGGCTTTCCAGGTCACCGTGTGGTAGGAGTGGCATTATTTCCAAAATGGAATGGCACATGTTAAAGGGCCCTTTTCTGTAGAAAGAACCAAGGATGCAATAGGGCCATGTTGGCACGCCCAGACCAAGGCTTGGCATGGGCGGGTTTGTATGGGCTCAGCTGGTGGAACAGTGGTGGGAGCAGCTGACCACTGCCGGGCTCCAAACAGAACCTTAGGCTCCCTCAGTGGCCACTCTGTCAGGGCAGTGTGACATCAATGCTGGGAGAGCCACTCACCACCGGGTCTGGACACCTCGCTCCTGGGTTATCATCACATCCGGTAGTGGGTAGGAGAGGCAAAGGAGAGCCAATGAAAGTGATTTTGCTCATTGGCTACAGCAATGACCTTGGCTGGGGCATGGGCTACAGCAATGACCTTGGCTGAGACAGAGGTTGGGATTTTTATCTGTAATGAGGTTCCTAGAGTATTTATCGTTTTATTTCTCTATTCTAGGCAAGTCTTTTCAAACGACTCCGTGTCCATTGTCTGGAGCCCTTGTTTGAAATGCACATTCCTGGATTCCAGCCCAGTGGTTCTGACCCATAGGTGTGGAGTGTGCCCCGGGAATCTGTATCCTAGCAGGTGCTCCAGGTGACCCAGGTGCAGGGAGCCACGGACCAGTGCTAGCCCACACCGTCTCCGTGTATCAGCAGGCACTGAGACCTGGCTGTCCAGCGTGACCCAGGCTCCCACACTGACAGGCTACCCTGTCCCGGCCACTTGTCTCTGAGCTCTGCCCCTCACCACTGTCCTTTAGCAAACACACTTCACACCAGTTCAGCTCAACCAAGGTTTATTGGGCACCTACGGTGGGCAAGGCACAGATCCAGGAGCTGTGGGGCACAAAGTCAAGGCTAGGCCTCGCCCCCAAGGGGCTCACAGTCTGTGGGGGAGACACTCACAGATAAGAAAAGCACAGGCAGAATGAGGTGAGCTCCACGTCAGAGGCAAAGCAGGGGCGAGCCGGGGCAGGGCACAGTGGAGTGTGCCTGGGCGGGGCAGGGCAGGGCTGGTGCAGGGCGTGGCACTTGGGCGGGGTGGAGAGAGAGAGGTAGGATGCACAGTGGGACTAGACAGAGGACAGCTCGGGTCAGAGGCACAGCGGTGGGAAAGTCGACTGAACGCAGAGCACTGAGGCAGTGTCTCCCTCGACTGACACACGGGTGCTGCCAGGTAGCAGGGAGCTCAGCTGCAGAAGCGGCGAGGCCGGGCCGTAGAGGATCTCCTGGTGGTTACATGTGACTCCGCTCTGCAGGCACTGGTGAGCCATTGAAGGTTACTGAGCAAGGGAGTGCGTGATCTGACCTCGATGCCAGGCTCCCTGCTGGATTGTGTGATTAGCTCTATCTTTGCTACCTTCACCCTGAGTTACAGCCTCTCTTGCTCTCAGAGTAGAAGCCTTGTGGCCACACACCCTCCAGGGCTGCACAAAGCGGTGGCCTTGGGCAGGCAAACTTGGAGCTCACTTAACAGAAGTTAGTGTCATATACTAACTTCTTAGAAGAAGTATCGCTGTCTACAATCACTTGGGAGTAGGGGCAAGGCACAGGAGGGTACTCAACGAACCGCTGTTGCCCGAGCTTAGCAGAAATCCGCTGCAGAGAAAATGAGATCGCAAACAGAAAGTGGTAGAAAGACCCAGTACATCATTAGCCTCACCCTCGCTGAACAACCTGCCAGTCGGCTTCTGGAGGAGCCCACCCCCTGCAGCCTCACTCACTGGGATCGGGGTTTCTAGGTGCTGGACACATGGAAGGTTCTCTGTGGACCCCTGCCCTCGGACCCTGCCTAGCTGTCCAGCGAGGAGGGAGAATGGCGCCCACCCCCACCCGAGCCACCCCAGCCCGCAAACGGATGCGAGGCCACCGCTGTCCAGGTGGACACGGCGATGCTGGTCAGCGAGGGCTCCCCCAGAACCTCCACCGCCGCCGAAGTGGGCGCCTGGGTGGAGAGGGGTGAAGTCACAGCGGGGTTGCCCAGGAGGAAAATGTCTCCCGGAGGACCCGGCGTGCCCGTCCGGGGCCCGGCCCGGCAAGGGCCCCCGCCACCGTTGCTGATGGTCCACAGGCACGGTAGGGCTGCAGAGACAGAACGAGAGGCAGGATGCGTGATGGCATTCCCGGAAACGATCGCCCGACAAGCACATACGATACTGAGAGGCCGTGGGGCTGGAAAGGGGGCCCCTGGCCGTGGCTTTACTGCGGCTCTGACACACTGGCCCCGATTCTGCAGAGAAGCCGAGAGGAGCGGCGAGATGAGCGGGGAAGGACAGGATTAGGTGTGCTGAGACCTGAAGTTTGAGGCTGGCCCTGCCACCAACAAGCTGTTCACTTTCCAACACAGCAATTTCCGTCTCTGGGCCTCCCCGGCCCAGCCTGTGCGGAGGGCAGGAAGCCAGAGGTCTCCCTGGCCAGGAGGGGCGATGTGGTGCAGTAACCAGGACACGCTGGGGTCAGAAAGCCTGGCACCGAAGGCCACCTCGACCACTGTTAGCGCGTGACCTTGGGCAAATTATGTAATATCTCTGAGCCCCAGTCTTCGAGATTGGGGGATAATTATGCAGACCTTCCGATGTTGTTGGAGGATTCCGTGACGCCTGGCGCATGGCTCCCAGTAGATGGCAGCTGTTACAATGAGTCTTCCCCCCGGGGCCCCTGGGCCAGCTCTGCCCTGGCACAGAGGCGGACGGGCCCTTCCTGATCCTCTTATTGGCAGCGCTGCTTCTCTCACTTGGCTGCACTGAGTCACCCAGCGAGGTCTGTAAACACTGCCGCTGCCTCCCTCCCCAACCCCCAGCCCGCCCCTCCACCCACCCACCAAGACCCTGGTGTGCCTAGTCTGGCCATGCCTGGGGGTCAGGACTTTCCAAAGCATTCCAGCTGATTGTCACCTTAACTTACAACCAGATGGAACTACAGCGAGGGGCCCGGCAGCAGGACCCCAGTGCTCCGCGCCTTAGCCAGCGTTTGGACGTGGAGTCTGCATCCCATTAAAGTGCTGCCTGGTTACAGGCGCCTGCCCCAGTGACGCTCTGACCCCCCACAGTCTTTATGGAGGCGGAAGGGGCTAACCCCACCCCGAGGGAAGCAGAGGCAGCAGCCACAGCGCACTCGGCCTGATTTCCCCGCCGCTGGGCCACACAGCCTGCAGCCCAGGCCCGGACTCTCTCCCCGGTTTCTCCTGCAACAGCAGCCCTTCCCGGTGGCTCCTGCGCAGGGAAGCCCAGCTCTGGCTGTGTGGCCTTCGGGAGCTTTTAATGCTGCTCGGCTTTGGTTTTCCTCGGTCAGTGAAACAGAAACGTTTGCCGGCCCGTAGACACCTCTGAGCGCTGTCCCTGACGCCCACAGCACCTAGGAGAGAACGTGGCCGGGACGGCTCCACATCTTCAAGGACATTCTCTCTCACTCCTGCCTCGGCCCAGGCCAGGGCGTTTCCCTGACACCCTCAGTCGGGCACTACTTGCTTGCACTAAAACGTGAGCCACGAGGCCAGGCACACTTCCTCGTGGCCACTCTTTAAAGAAGGAAAAACAAGAAGATCTTATTGCTAATCATATTC